ATCACTGCACCTGTACACAGCCCATCTGTAATTAGCCCACCCAACTACCTCATCCCCATATTGTTATTTACATTGTTATTTATTTTGCTCGTTTGCACCCCAGTATCTCTATTTGCATATCATCTTATGCACATCTATCACTCCAGTGTTAATACTAAATTGTAATTATTTTGCACTATAGCCTATTTATTGCCTTACCTCCATAACCTACTACATTTGCACACACTGTATATAGATTTTCTATTGTGTTATTGACTGTACGTTTTGTTTATTCCATATGTAACTCTGTGTTGTTGTTGTTTTTATCGCACTGCTTTGCTTTATCTTGGCCAGGTCGCAGTTGTAAATGAGAACTTGTTCTCAACTGGCTTACCTGGTTAAATAAAGGTGAAATAAAAATCTCCAATCTCCAATTCTAAAGAGGATCTGTGATCCAGTTTGATCCAATGATCTCTGATAATAACAGTATTTCTATACCTTTTATTTAGTGGTTTACTTTCATGTGACATAGTTTCTAAACTTATTGTCTGGGGTAAACATATTGTCTAATTAATTTGTTATTACATTCTGATGACTTGTAAAACTGGTCTTGCTTCTTTTCCAGAACTGCAGTTATTACTGGTGTTTCGCAGCATGGATGGCCTACTACATCAACCATCCACTCTATACACCGCCCTGTAAGTCCTGTCTACCCTGAGGTGATATCATATCTAACCCACCTAATGCACACTCATCTCTACACTGTCTGCTGGTTGCCAGGATGTTACAGAATACAGATAGATCTTTTCATAATCCCTAATGACTTTCAATGTTCTTTCCCATGATACATCACACCTGCTTGTGTGTTTACAGACTATGGGCAACAGCAAGTGAAGACAGCACTCATTATATTCTTAGTAAGTATTCTTTAGTTAGTGTGTTGAAGATTATATTTATTTTAATACCTCATGATGTAATATATTAATTTAGTAATTTCTTTGTAATGGAGTTGAGGCTACACAGTAGGCCCATTAGGCACAAATAATCAGTGGTGTAAAGTACTTAAGTAAAAATACTTTAAAGTACTACTTAAGTCATTTTTTGGGGTATATGTACTTTACTTTACTATTTCTATTTTTGACTTTGACTTTTACTCCACTACATTCCTAAAGAAAATAATGTACTTTTTACTCCATACATTTTCCCTGACACCCAAAAGTACTCGTTACATTTTGAATACCAAGCAGGACAGGAAAATGGTCAAATTCACTCACTTATCAAGAGAACATCCCTGGTCATCCCTACTGCCTCTGATCTGGCGGACTCACTAAACACAAATGCTTCGTTTGAAAATGATGTCTGATTGTTGGAGTGTGCCCCTGGCTATCTGTAAATTAAAAAAACAAGAAAATGGTGCCCCCTGGTTTGCTTTATATAAGGAATGTGAAATCATTTGTACTTGTACTTTTACTTTTGATACTTAAATATATTTTAGCAATGACATTTACTTTTGATACTTAAGTATATTTAAAATCCAAATAGTTTTACTCAAGTAGTATTTTACTGGGTGGCTTTTACTTTTACTTGAGTCATTTTTATTAAGGTATCTTTACTTTTACTCAAGTTTGACAATTGGGTATTTTTCTACCACTGCAAATAATAGTCTCACCACCAGATACGAGGAGACGAGGTTACACAATAATAACATCATTAACATCAGTGCAATATAGATCAGACTTCCCAGCAGAGTAACAATAATATCTTCATGGAGTTACTAGAGTTATCACATTGTTATTACATAGGTATAAGAGCAACTTAATGTAAAGTTTCACCAGGAAGTGTCACCAGGTCTTCTTTTGTGTTTGGTTAGAGTTGTGGCTGATTGAGCCCTTTGTCATGTTATTGTATTTTCCTCATCCTCACAGTTCTGTCAGGTCGGCAACTTCTCCATCAACATCGCTCTACGCAACCTCAAATGTTCAGGTGAGCTCCCATAGGCTCTTGCTTATATTATTCATGCAGTGCAGTCCATTATCAGATATGTACTTCGAAAGTTAGCACACAAGGTTCCTAGGTTCCTTCCTTTCTAGGGAGTTTTTCCTAGCCACTGTGCTTCTGCATCTACTTGCTCTTTGAGGTTTTAGGCTAGGTATCTGTATACTTTGTGACAACTGCTGATGTAAAAAGGGCTTTATAAAATACATTTGATTGATTGATTAATTGACGAGCACTGCTTTACAGGAGCCCCCATGTTAACCTTTCCATGTTAACCTTTCTTCTCCATTCTTTCTCATATTATCCCAGGTTCGAAGGTCAAGAAGATCCCACACCCGACTAAGAATCCGTTCACCTGGATCTTCGCGTTGGTGTCTTGTCCCAACTATACATACGAGGTGAGGCGTTCTAGTAAAGAATGGTGGGTTGATTGAAATATTTGTATTTGCACGTTTTAGACTGGAAAAACTTTGAAATTCAGTTTCACTTCCCCTCCTGGGGTTTGGAGTTATAGTGATGCTGCCACCTTCTGGCCAATAGGTGTCAAGAGAGAATAAATGGAACGGTATCAAACACATGAAAACACATGGTTTCCTTGTGCTTGATACCATTCAGTTTAGTCCATTCCAGCCATTATTGTAATCCGTCCTCCTCTCACCAGCCTCCAGTGGTACTACATGTATAATATGGAGGAGTGTGTAACAGTGTATCTGGTCCTCTGCAGCTGGGGTCGTGGATGGGCTTCACAGTGATGACCCAGTGCTTGCCGGTGGCTTTCTTCACCATCGTGGGCTTTGTCCTGATGACGGTGTGGGCCAGGGGAAAGCACCGAAACCTACCGCAAGGAGTTCCGTGACTACCCCACCCTGCGCTCCCCTATACTGCCCTTCATCCTTTAGTCAGAGAGGGGCTGGTCCCACACATAACTTGACCCCCATTCAGCCCCACTGCAGTCTACAGCTGGACTCTCAAGGCATGTTCCCTGGTGTTTCTGACTGGGTAGGTTGGAAGGAGTTGTTGGAATAGTTCAACTACACTGTGACTCTGGTCTTAGGGAGTTGAAAACCCTTTGATGACTTAAATGCAGATGAGTCTTAATCTGATGTAATGTGTACTACCGGTACCTACTGTACATGTCATGGTGTGGAAGCACAAATTAATGAAAAAAATACACTTGTTTTACTAAAGCAGTGACTTAACTGTCGGCTAAACTGTTCTGTTGGATTTTGTATTATTTGTTGCATGTTATAGCTTGTCGTTTGTGTCAAGATTTAACGTGTCATTGTTTAAACTAAGTTTCATCTAACAGCATTCTCATTGTGTGATGGTTGGGTTTCAGACAGTAACAATCATTCATTTACATATTCATCTTACCGCTTATTATATACACAGAGGTAATAAATATTGAAAAGACAACTTTATTTTCCCCCCTGGAAACAGGGCCAACATAACAATTAACAGTGTGACATCAAACACGTGACAGATGGAAATATGGAATGTGACGTTGTTTCAAAAGCAGAAGCCACAAGGCAAAATGAAGAGAGCTCATTGTAATCCTCTCAGATAACAATGTTGCATTTGATCAAGATGTCCATCATGTCATGGGGAATTGTATGTTACTGTGTTGAGATTGTAAACAAAGAAAATGTATTAGTGCTACAATGACACTTCCTAAAGTTTTTGGTTGGTTAATTTTCCCTTAAAAAAAGAACATCATTCAGTTGTTTTCTCTCCTCAAACTGAAGCAGGCAGGAACATTGGGGCCTTGAGCTACATTGGTTCTGGTCTGCCAGTCCATTTCAACTAGAATTCTGCTTCAAACTGTTTTAATTTTGTAGATTAAATCTAGGTTCATCCACAGTAGATTAAATTAGATGAATCTAAAATGTTTAGAAATGAAGTGACCATAAATGAGGGGATGAGGAAATGCAAAAGGCAAGCATACAAACATACAAATGACAGATTATGTTGCCTTAGTTTAGCAGGTACTACATACTGTATATTGGTATTTCTAAATGTTAGTGAAACAGTTAATAACAGTAATAAAACATAGGTCAGTACTGGTGAAGCCATGAGAACGTCTGGAGACTAAGCTTAGTTTCCTTTGCTGGTATAATGAGAGATTGACATCACTGACCTTTGATGAATCAACAAATTCATACTGTACATTCTCAAATTAAATCAGTTCACATTGTCATCATAAAAGAAAAACAAAGTTGAGTTTCTAGTTAAACTGAGGATATCATATGACATTTGATATGTCTTTTTAAAAATACTGTCTGAGTAAACAATGAAGAAATGTAAGTACCATATTTGCTAGAACAGATACACCAAGGATACATTATTATTTTCTTGTCAGACTGACTCAGAGAGCACAGAAACCAGTCTTTTAAAGAAGGCTCCAGTGGTAGCCAAGTCTAGAGTCTAGAGTCTGAGGAATCCAGAGAAAGTATTTCTCACTGGCTGCACTCACTGACCCGCCCTTACATAACAGGCAGTCCTCCACTTTTTTTACATTACATTTTAGTCATTTAGCAGACGCTCTTATCCAGAGCGACTTACATGAGCAATTAGGGTTAAGTGCCTTGCTCAAGGGTACATCGACAGATTTTTCACCTAGTCGGCTCGGGGATTAGAACCAGCGACCTTTCGGTTACTGGCACAACGCTCTTAACCACTAAGCTACCTGCCGCCCTTGACTTCTATAGCGTCCTTAGGCAGGTTCCTAACATTCCTATATGAGTTTAGAGGGAGATCCTATAAAAGCAATACCACCAGAATGGGTCAGGTGACAGCAGTCTTTATCCCCAGTACCACAGAGAGGTGGTATGGAAGCCCACGTACACGTTTATAATCACTGTCAAGGCCCAAGTCACTACCACAGTGTCCTTTTCCCCAAATCTCCTTGAACCGTTACAGAAGGTTCTAGAGATGCAGTGAACACAGTATGTGTGTATACTGTATGAATACAGACAGATACATCTGCTCCTCAGAGGAGTGTGTTGTTCCGTTCCCCCCTCTCATGGTCAGAGATCGTCCTCCTCATCCAGGAAGTGGGTCCTCTGCAGCACCTTCACGTGGCGCTCGTAGATCTTTAGGGCGGGCCCAAGTCTGATGGACAGGCCAGTCAACACGTCACTGCGCTGCATCAGGAGCAGGGACTTTCCATCAATTTCCTGTTGGGGGGAGAACAGATGGAGTGATTGAACTAACATCTAAATGTGGATTGGGGTGTGAACTAGTTACATCAAAGCAAATGCATCCTAGTCTAGGGGGTACAGGATCTGTTGCTTTGGTTTATGGATGAGCACATTCATATATTCTAATGAAAGCAATGCAAATGTCATGCATATATTTCATGTATGCTTTCATATCATTTAACTTACTATTTGCCCAAGCCATTTACCCAGGTCAAGAAACAACCACCAGCCCAGGGATACTCAAATACATTTTACACAATGGCCATTTTTAGAAGTCAACAGGAGGTCGGGGGCCACGGGTCTGTGTGGACACCCCACAGGCTGCCATTAGAGTGTCACTGCACTAGCCCATAGGACCTTCACTTCATACAGATTACTAAGGATTGGATAGGTGGTACTGCAATGCAATAACGTCAAATCTTCACCTTGTCTACTGATGGGCGACGTGGACTGTTCACCATATTGATTATAATATACCCAACACTTTCACATCTCCAGGAGTGCCTGGGGGCTGTCTCTGGCTAGCTAGAGGCTGTCTCTGGACAGGGATTCGGTCTGAGTGGTTGTCTGAGTGTACAGATACTGCCCCTGTGTGGCAGTTTGAGGGACTGCACTTACCTGTGTTCTGAAAGCTACAGCCTGCTCTGGAAAGCCTGCAGCAGAGAAGTAGGTGGCCACGTCCGCCACGCTCCACAGCAATAAGTTCTGCCTCGTCGTCTCCTTCTTCACAGAGCTGTGGGGTAGAGGATGGGGGAGATAGCGTGAGACACTGCAGACAAAACACAACAAATGTGTCCTTTTGTTGACGTTGTTTCGTTTGAAGGGATTTGTACAGTGTGCTATTTGAGGCTGTTGGTGTACCTTGGTTATTTCTGTATGATGTCTACATTGAAGTGAGTTGGTGTATTTTGGGGTGGGAGGCTTAACAACAATGTAACTAACATGTAATAGGTTAACTTAGTGCACCAAAGCTCTAGTAAGGATGCAGTGAGTGTCCCCTGAGTACAAGATGGTGTCAAAAACATTAAGCGACTCACACTTCTCCGTTTTTAAAATCGTTCTTGACATCGTCTTGAGCCATCACGTAAGAGGCAACGTCCATCCCCTTCTTGTATTTAGCAACTGTAATAGATACAGTGGCCGGTAAACAGAATGTCTCTCATATCCTAAACATCCTCACTGGGAACACATGAGAAAAATAGAAATATGAGAAACTAATATGAGAAATTGACATAGAACAGAAGAGAAAACTCACAGTCGTCAGAGGGAAAAGACAACGTCTTTGGCCGTCTGTCAGAACCCTTCATGGTCTCATCCACACAGTCAGGAACCAGTTGGTCAGAAGTGAGACCACTCTCCTCCATCCTCACCCCATCCTCTCTCTCTCTCTTCACCAAGCTCTTCTGAACCCATGGACAGGTCCCCGATGGCTGTACTATCGTCTTTAAAGCCCCTGAAGGGGGGGGGGGGGGGGGGGGGGGGGGGAGAGAAGAGCGAGAGAGAGAGATGCCCAGTCATACATCGGCATAAACACACACATCAGCTTGAAACTGTCTCCTGGCATTGGATGCTTACTCACTCACTATACTGTAACTCATTGCTAGTCGCTACAATACAAACCTACTCCTAAAACACTCAGTCACTACCCAGCATTAAGACACTACGGCAAGCACAATTAAATGTTAGTGTTTTCTCCAAAACATGAGTAACATGGTAGATTCTGTCTGTCCCTTACTGGGCTTGAACCAGCAATCTTCTGTTCCCAACAACACAACGCACTCACAAAGCTGTTACCCATTGCTCCACAGACACCATGGCCAGTGCAGAGCAAGGGAAACAACTAGACTACTTCTAGGTCTCAGAGCGGGTGATGTCACCACTGGGCTGTACAGCTAACTAGCTAGCCATTCCACATCGGCTACACTTGTACACATAGTATGATCTGTTAATACAGCATACTAACCAGTTCCTGTGTTTCTCTGCATCCCTGAGGGTCCATGCTCAGCAGGGGCAGAAGGCAGAGTCACACACACACTCATTTTGCCTGAGGGCCAGGGGACTAGAGGGGGACAGAGAGCTGGACCTCCTACTAGTCTTGCAGGCAGAGGGGTGGTCAGACACAGGGCTTGGGCTTGGGCCAGGGTGGGAGCCGCTGGGGGAGCAGGGGGCAGAGTAGGGGTGGGCAGCGCCAGACCCCCCCTGCACAGCTTTCTCACCCCCAGGAGAGGGAGAGGAGCCCTCGTGGCCATCTTCATCAGCCCCCTCCTCTTCCTCCTCCTCCTCCATGGTGCTGTCTGTCTCCATTGACACTGGCATCTCATCCTGGAACACAACCATTGCAGCATAAGAATTTGAACAGATTCACTATCCGTTTAGAACATTCTAATCGTACTCCCCCAAAATGATCCACCCCACTTTATATTGTGAACAAGAAAGATCAGTTGGTTACTACATCACTGACATTAATCAGGTGCTTAATGTATTAATAACTTTCTTGGGTGTAACAGAAGGACAACTGATCTTCTCAATACTGGCAGAGAATATTAATTCAGATCATTTCTCATAAATTAACAATAAAGTGGGAGTGTCAATCTGATTGACAGCAAAACAGCCTATAGGCTAGTCTACAACCCTAATATATTGACCCGTTTAGATCAACTAAGCCAACAACAGCTCTGCTGGTAGTGATAAGTACAGCAGGAGAAGCAACATAGCCTACTCAGGCAAGGGAGGGGGAAGGGACAGCAGGCCACTGGAGGGGGAGGGGACTAGTGGGGAGAGAGTGGCCCCCGTTTGTCCTGTAAGTTAATGATTGGATAGAAGTGTATTCTGGCATTCTTTACTTAAAATATCTAATTTACAATGAATATCATGTAAACTGCGCCATGATACCTACACATTTTCTTCTGACCTTTCGCTAGAGCAGCAGTCAGACAATCATTAATTCATTTTGAACGCAGCTAGGCCTACACCAGAAAGGAGAAACTCACGAGCGTGCCATAAACTGTAATCAGCGGGTTGAAAATGTGTTTCAGCCCACATGGTGTGCGTTAGCGCGAGTCGACTCCTGATTGAAGGAGACATGACATAAAGCCACGCTCATACAGACGTCGCAATAACCAGTCTTCATTTGACCGCTGTCGACAATAATTGCCTTTGGAGGCCTTGTCCCCGTAGAGCACACAGGATGTTCACTCCGTTCGGAACTACAGCTGCGCTATTCGTCCACATTGTGTTCGGTATCCAACCACAATTACTCATTCCAATATAGCTTAATATGGGCCACATATAAGTTTAGAAGTGTTATTCACATATGCACAGGGTTTATTTCACTCGCTTTGTCGTCGATGACTGTATATAAGCGCAGAAATGAGGTTATTCAGCCTGTGTGCGTGTCCAAAGCTACAACTAGCGGAGGCGCGAGTACGAGCGCTCAACTCAGCAGAGGCCGCCCCGCACCTCAGAGGCGCTTGAGTCAGACATTATAAAATAACTTTAATTGAAGAACAGGCCTAACTACCATTAAAATATTTTGACGCTTAATCATGAGCTCCATTATTTGGATATGCAGAATAGGCTATTTGGATCTGTCAATAATCGTTTTAATTATATATATTGGCCCAAAAAATAATACTTGACGCAATCTGCTACTTTTTCTTGTGGATATATAATAAACTACAGGAACAGAGCGTGGACAACGTCACCATTTTCTCCCATTTTAATGTAAAAGTGCGCAATGGAGGAGTCGCGCGAAAGACTTCCCACTTCAGTCAGATAGAGCGCTCCTGAATCTAGTCCATGGTGTGGCCGATTCTAGCCACGAAGCTCCCGATATAGCAGCAATACCTTCAGTAGGGTTACTTTGACTTTGGGTAATTTTTTCCTGCGACAGACGCTCGCGAAACCCATTAAACTCGCGGCTTCATATCTAGCAGCGTGTTACTTATGAATACATCGACTGTCACCCCCTTCGTGAAATACCCCGAGCACACGGTCCCCCATTCGGTCACGCACATCCGAGGTATGTGACTTTCGCTTCGGCCCCCCTTCACTGCAAAGCCGAGTTTGTGCTTGAAAAGAGCCTTCCGCTGGTAGGCTGTGGTTGTTGCTAATGCTGTTAATCGTGCAAGTTTTTTTTTTGTCGTTGTTTGCTCTACAGCTTTAGCGCCCAGACAAACTCACTTCTACACACAACCTCTTTTTTGTATTATTACTGCAAGCGCAGCTTCCATTGTTATTGGTAGGCTATTTTTCACCTCGGTCGCGCGAGGTAGCTACAGCCGCTCCCCGTCTGCGGCAGTTTGTTTCGGTGCACTTGCATTCATCACGCCACCCCTCCCTGAATAGAGAATCCCGCTTTACAACACCATTTTCCTAGCTACACCATATGCCGGTCTACTCAGTATAATAGTGAGGACGTGGGTCTGTTATCTTCTCTGGGGAAGATGGACGGTGTGTCACGGCACGGGGTCACTGAAACAGGCTGCCTTGCGTTACCTCCAAATTCTCGGTCTCATCCTGGTCAATGGGTACGAGTGCGCTGTCCCCGTTGCTCAAATCGGAGTGGTTAGCTTCTTCCACCGCAGTTGTTTTGGTCGTGTGATCATCCTTTTTCCTGCTTCTTCTGACTACTTTGGCTGCATTTCGATACGAAATCGAGCCCTTGTAGTTAACTTTCAAGACTGTTTGCTCTTGGATCAGTTTCTCGAGTTCCTCGCTGGTTCGTTCTGGCGCCGATCCATGTCGTCTCCGGACCATTCGACAAATTCTTTCAAGGTCTGGTCTGGCTTTTCGCGACCGCAGTGAGTCAATAGTGTCCAAAATCCAATCGCGGTAAACGGGTTCAGACATTCTCCTGGTTGGGGTCGTTCGTTCGGTTTTGCCCCAGTGCGTCAACCTTGTTGCGATCCGCGGCTCGAGTCCAGCTTGAGAAAAAATTGAAACCTCGCTGTACGCTTGCGTTGTTGTGCGCTTTTAAGGTGACCCACTTGAGATAGAATCAAGCTCTACAGGAGATATTTAAGGTGGTATTTCGAAGTTAGGACTAACGAGGCGCGCAAGTGTTAATTTATCATCACTTGAAAAACAAAAACAAAACATTTAATACTTTTTATAATAAATTGGGGTAAAAAAATGATACGTCTCGTATAATATAAAATGGGCGAGTCTGGAAGGATAAAGCACTTTTTCACCCAGGGTGTGATATTGTCTACGATAGCACGGTAGTAGGCCTACAAGATGCAGATGGATAAGGAGGACCTGCTGTTATTACCATGGGGATGGCTGGCTCCAGACCAGACATATAGCCAGGAGCCATCTTATCAGTGAAGGTATTCTCCTCCATCTTCATCCAACCTTTTCTGGATCGATGGCCAGAGGCTGAACACTCATCTGGAAGGCCCCTGAGGAATAGACAGATTGACATACATATTTGTATACGAGATGTAGGCCCACACACACAGGTTGAAACCAAAAACAACCAAATGTACTGTGCAAACAGCAATAAATCTTCTGCCAACATACACATTTTCTGTTAGCAAAACAGTCTGTATAATCTACAAAATGTACTGATACAATTTTAATTTTAACAAGTAAAACTTTATTGGAATGATACATCTTGCAAAATATTAATATTTTTTTTAACATACTCGTTGTGTCCTAAGGGTATCCGTCAAGTTCTCCAGAAGGTAAGATCATTAAGACTGTCAAAGGCAGAGATATACAGTATTGTTTCCCAGGGGGGTACAATACACTACACCATCACCCTACCCAGATCGGGAAGGAAAAAGATTCAAATGTTTTGTTGTTGTTGAAAATACACTTAGAAAATATGAAAAGTAAAGCAACGTTTTCTCCATGATGTAAAAAATGGAGACGTTCAATATGAAGTGTATGTAAAACTAGAATGCTAACAAAGGCAATCAAACAGAGTGAAAAGATGAGCACAGAAAAGCTGATGATGGATAGGGTTATAATGATGACTGGGGGAGTGGGAGAGGCGGTCAGTATAAACAGGAAAAAACATGTCATAGACATGAGGTCATGGGTCAGGAAAGCCAAATTAAATAAAAAAAAAAGCTGTCATGTCATCAGTGGATTGAGGAGCTCATCCCTCCACTAATCACTGAGTTTGACTTTTCCAGCACAAAACCTTAACTGTTTGCAGGACCAAAGGGTACAAATATTTATCTGAAGACCATCAATTGACCAATTTTCTAGTCACAACTTAGGCTAACATTATCAAATTTCTTTAAAAAATATATATATATATATGACATGATTCGAGAAGTGAGGTGTGCTTCGAAGGATTCTAGCAAGGCAGTGGAGGTGACTGAATACCTGTAGCTGGCACTGACCCTCCATTACTACTAATGATGCTTAGAAAGACCAGAGGGATGCACAACAATGAAACAAGCAAAATATCAGTTGTTTGTGGTAAATGAATGGTTGCAGATCTCAAAGTCATTAAAACATGTCATAGGTCTGGGACATCTTGCATTTCAGTTGTTTCGTCACATGCAAGAAAAAAACAATTCAGAGAACCGTGATTTCTGAAAATACATAACATTTCTTCTTCAAAGAGCACAAGTTTGGAAGTCTATCTCCACTCAATACACTTATTTCCCCCCCTGTAAAGTAGCCTTCTTACCAGACTGCTCCAGATGTAACCTCTAGACTGCCAAATAATCATTTTCAAAAATGTGATTTGTGAACATTTGGTAGAAATAAGCCATACTACAATAGACTTAATGACAAAACTGAATGAATGACAAATACTGTATATTATCAAATACAAGAAATGCATTTTCAGGAGGTGCACAATGTGTGGTGCCTGATAAAGGCTGGTGGGGGTCCGAATCACTGTCAACATTGTGTTTACATAGGAAATGAATATAACCTTATTACCCCAAATAAAAGCTTGTGGGGAAAACAAAGCATGGTTGAAAATCAACTAAACCATGTCAATGGGTTGGGTCATCGCACCTCTGTCTACACACCAGCCATTGGTGAGATTTGGGCTGCGATTGTCTTGCATCCAAAAAGACGACATTGCAAATCAAATAAAAAATCACACGATAGCTTTTCAAAATCCATAAATCAGATTGTTACATACATTTCTCATGAGGAAAAGGAAAATATTTTCACAAATTCTCATCCTGACTTCCAACAGTCACATGGTGACTGAGTGTCCTTTTGAAGATGATGATTTAAGAGTAAAAAGGCCAGCAGAAAGTTGAACAGAGCTAGGTGAATTAACATGATTAAATCAGCATTAACCGTTCACCTCTAACTGAACACTGAATGAAATGACATGATTTCTGGCAGATAAAAAGTGGGCCTTGATCCATCCTACAAAAGGGGCAGGTGAGAGTCAGTTTGAACAATCTCAGGTACCTCACCACGACCAGAGCGTTACGTCCTTTCACATCTTTCTTTTAAAAGTGATATTGTACAAAAATAACATGCATCATTTTGCTGAAACATTTTGCTACTTTTTCCTGCGTATTAAAAACCACCACCTTCATAGTTAACTGACATACATGTTTGCGTAAGCAATGTCCTTACTTTTGCGAATTTGTCAGAATTCATACTTGTTAATTTCTGAAATCTTCATTTCGGTTTCACAGCTAAGAGACAACTTTGGAAAAAAGATGGATATTCACGTTTTTCTATAATATATCAACATACATGTATAAATGTGCTATGAATTAAATAAACAAGTCAGAGAGGAGTGTGTGATCATTATGTTAGTCACTGCCAAATCACTGCTTTTTAACCCACCCTTGAACACTAACACACAAGCACAGAGATTGACTTGAGAGGACACAATGATCCTCAAAATGGTTTTAAAACGCTCTAATAAATTCAGTTGAAGAGGAAAAGACAGATTTAATTAACATTAGAAATGCTCATGTACACAATTGTTTCACAGGTCCCGAAAAATAAAGTAGCAAGACCTAAATGAAAAGAGACAAATCGTTGTTTCTCTGATCAAAAGTGGTCAGCACTGCCTGAACTGCAAGCGATGAGAGAATCCTCTGAACCCAATAATCATGCCACAACGAGCGGACAGAAGGCATGTGCAGAGAGTGTCAAGCTTTCAACTAGAAAGGGCACAAGGGTTGATGTCACCACTAGCCAAAGCTCTGCACCAATGCTTTCGACACGGTTTTGCAACCAATTGGCATTATGATAGGCACATCTGTTGGACTTGGTATTGCTTGGACAGATTCAGGACAGGACAGAGGGGGGGAACTGGGGTAAAAAGATAGGAGTGGGTGGACAATTACAAAACAAGAATGAGATGCCCTCGTTCATTGAGAAGCTTGTAGAGAGGACCCACTCAGGAGGAGCCTAGATTCAGTACCAGAACAGAACATCAATACCTCAACCTGCCTGCAATGACTCAAAAGTGTGTAGCCCCTGCCCCTTCTACCCCTGCCACAAACACAAGAGGGAAAACAGGACATGGATAAGTAACAAGGTGAGAAACAATCAGAAAAGGCAACACTGCTGGCTCTTTCAGGTCTTTTCTCTCCTTTTTCACTCTCTCTTCATTTGGGGGGTGGGGGGTTACATTGTTGATGTCGTAATTACAAAATGCAAGTTAGCAGTCCAGCTAATCACCTCTCCTCCCAGTTCCTTCTGTTCCCACCTTTTCTCTCTACATCCCTGTCTCTTTCCGCTACTCCTGGTTGGGCCTAGAACTCGGCAAACTCCTTGCCACATTTCTCTGTGAAGGAGACTCGGATTTCCTCTTCCTCATAGTCGTCAAAGTTGCTGGTGTCACCGGGGCCTTTGCACTTGGGAATAAACGGTGCCTCCACCTGAAAACACAACACAGAGAATACTCAGATTCTTTCTACTGTAGCTCTCACAGTATCATTCCTCCTCAGTTGTTGACATATAATGTCTGACAGTCATTGGTCATTCACTGGTTACGGACATGTTATTAGTCAAGTGGAGAACATTCCAGCTCTGTGTAAGACTATGTGAGTAATGCATGTGTAACATGTCTCCAAACAAGACCAAGCCAAATGACATCAGCTCTGAATCATACCCCTTAAGACATCCTGCCTTCTCCCAACCCCCCCCCCAATCTCTCCTCTGTCTCAACCAAACCTGCCTCTCTCCGGTGGCTATACAGTGAACAATAGAAGGGCCATGGAAGCAGGCCTTCTCACCTTCCTCTGGTAAATGGCGATCCAGTCAGTGGTGGCGAACCACTTGTGGCCCTTGATGTCGTTGACTCCGTTCCGCAGGTTGCCGAAGCGCTTGGTCAGGTCCACCTGGAGCAGGTTCCTCAGCAGGTCCTTCAGGTCCGAGCTGAAGTGGGAGGGAAAGCGCACCTGGGGACAGAGACACGTCAGGGTTGTGTTCAGTAGAAAACTTTCAGAAACAAAGTAAAAGAGGGAGGAACTATCTAAAAATGTCCCTTTCAGAAACGCTAATTTTCCCTAATAAACATGACTCAGGGACAGAAGATCAGAGATTGCCCATAGACTCTGACAGGGCCTGTTTAGTCTTTCCCCCCTAATGTTTAAGGTTAAGATTGGGGGTAGATAAGATTATCCTAGATAGATAAGATGATCCTAGATCTGACATAAAAAAAGTCACAACCGAGCTGATGGAAACAGGAAATTTCGGTATAATTTTATAAATGCCGACAGACAATTTGTTCGTTCAACATGGTGGGATCTTTGTGTCTCTAAAATTAATTATGTGAGAAATGGCGGTGGAAACGCCTTTATGCGCAAATATTGATATAATGACCATCATACCGAAGTAAACTTGGAATCACGCGATAATATGTTGTGGTCATCCCACTACGACTCCGGAATGCATGCAGTTAATAAAGATTACAGATTAAATAAGTTATGAACGTCACAGGGTGGTGAAAGTTCAAGTGATGAGCTTGATGTACCTTTCCAATAAATATCGAGGGTCTTATTCTGGTGACATGATGATCGGTGCTTGGCTGCTGTTTGACCCCCAAAATAATATCTCTCTTATCCATAATAATCTCATAATGTAGGTAGCCTCCCTGCACTGTATCTGCCAGCTGTTGGCTAGAGCGCACGTGCCAAGACCAGAGCGGGCACATTTGCTATATAACGCAACAGTTTTTGTGACAAAACCATCAGTATAATTGAAAATGCGATGTAAACCCATTTAACTTGTATTTTTCATTCAGTGCATGGGAATTGACCTCAAATAGTTATTATGTGCACATGTCATCAGCAAGCTTTTACACTGTGTGCACAATTACGCAAGTTATGTTTGAGGATTAATTGTATTATTGATCAACTACAGTTCTCTCGTCAATCCAAAATGTTAATACACCTAAAACCTGAATATTTAAGAAAGTAAAGTGAGGTTTGGCTTTCTTTGGAGATATCTGTGTGTGCACAGTTATTGGCACTATTAGTGTGGCAACTACAATACTTTTTATTTTGTGCAACTAAATGTCAAAAACCAAAGTTCACACCGTGCATTTGGCCCATTTTACATCTCCTCTAGAGCAGTGAGTTTCTGTCGCTGGCAAACAAACAGACTTCAAATCCTTCACAAACATTTGACATTTAGGTGAGCCATCAGTGCCATAAATGCTTCTTACGAAGCCACTCCTTCGTTCCCCCGGGAGGTGTGTTTGGGATCATTGTCATGCTAAAAGACCCAGCCACTTTCATCTTCAATGCCCTTGCTGATGGAAGGAGGTTTTCACTCAAAATCTCACGATACATGGCCTCATTCATTCTTTCCTTTACAACGGATCAGTCGTCCTGGTCCCTTTGCAGAAAAACAGCCCCAAAGCATGAAGTTTCCACCCCCATGCTTCACAGTAGGTATGGTGTTCTTTGGATGCAACTCAGCATTCTTTGTCCTCCAAACACGATGAGTTGAGTTTTTACCAAAAGTTATATTTTGGTTTCATCTGACCATATGACATTCTCCCAATCCTCTTCTGGATCATCCAAATGCACTCTAGCAAACTTCAGACGGGCCTGGACATGTACTGGCTTAAGCAGGGGGACACGTCTGGCAATGCAGGATTTGAGTCCCTGGCGGAGTATGTGTTACTGATGGTAGGCTTTGTTACTTTGGTCCCAGCTCTCTGCAGGTCATTCACTAGGTCCCCCCGTGTGGTTCTGGGATTTTTGCTCACCGTTCTTGTGATCATTTTGACCCCACGGGGTGAGATCTTGCGTGGAGCCCCAGATCGAGGGAGATTATCAGTGGTCTTGTATGTCTTCATTTCCTAATAATTGCTCCCACAGTTGATTTCTTCAAACCAAGCTGCTTACCTATTGCAGATTCAGTCTTCCCAGCCTGGTGCAGGTCTACAATTTTGTTTCTGGTGTCCTTTGACAGCTCTTTGGTCTTGACCATAGTGGAGTTTGGAGTGTGACTGTTTGAGGTTGTGAACAGGTGTCTTTTATACTGATAACAAGTTCAAACAGGTGCCATTAATACAGGTAACGAGTGGAGGACAGAGGAGCCTCTTAAAGAAGAAGTTACAGGTCTGTGAGAGCCAGAAATCTTGCTTGTTTGTAGGTGACCAAATACTTATTTTCCACCATAATTTGCAAATAAATTCATTAAAAATCCTACAATGTGATTTTCTGGATTTTTTTTTCTCAATTTGTCTGTCATAGTTGACGTGTACCTATGATGAAAATGACAGGCCTCTCTCATCTTTTTAAGTGGGAGAACTTGCACAATTGGTGGCTGACTAAATACTCTTTTCCCCCACTGTATGTAGAGGGGAAAGGAAAATAGGCAGAATTCTAGCTCACTTCTCCTGACCTAACAAAGTGCTGTATATGAAGACACTAAGGTCAGGGGTCGGAAGAGGGTAATGCTCATGTGAATATAGCAAAAAAAGCAGGAAAGGCATAGTAGGACAATAACTAGGTTTCCATCCAACCATTTAATGCAGATGAATTACCTGACATGAAAAAAGTCACAACCGAGCTGATGGAAACAGGAAATGTTGGTATAATTTTATAAATGCCGACAGACAATTTGTTCGTTCAACATGGTGGGATCTTTGTGTCTCTAAAATTAATTATGTGAGAAATGGCGGTGGAAATGCCTTTGTGCGCAAATATTGATATAATGACCATCATACCGAAGTAAACTTGGAATCACGCGATAATATGTTGTGTGGTCCTCCCACTACGACTCCGGAATGCATGCAGTTTATTAGGCTACAGATTAAATAAGTTATGAACGTCACAGGGTGGTGAAAGTTCAAGTGATGAGCTTGATGTACCTTTCCAATAAATACTGAGGGTCTTATTCTGGTGACATGATGATCGGTGCTTGGCTGCTGTTTGACCCCCCAAATAATATCGCTCTTATCCTTAATAATCTCATAATATAGGTAGCCTCCCTGCACTGAATCTGCAAGCTGTTGGCTAGAGCGCACGTGCCAAGACCAGAGTGGGCACATTTGCTATATAACGCAACAGTTTTTGTGACAAAACCATCAGTATAGTTGAAAATGCGATGTAAACCCATTTAACTTGTATTTTTCATTCAGTGCATGGGAATTGACCTCAAAAGTTATTATGTGCACTATGTCATCACGCACAGCCTTTTACACTGTGTGCAATTATTAGGCAAGTTGTATGTTTGAGGATTAATTGTATTATTGAACAACTACAGTGCTCTCGGTCAATCCAAAATGTTAATAAACCTCAAACCTGAATATTTAAGAAAGTAAAAGTGAGGTTTTGGCTTTCTTTGGAGAATATCTATGTGTGCACAATTATTGGGCAACTATTAGTGTGCACAATTATTATGCAACTAAATGAAAAACGAAAAGTTCCCCATCTCACTTGTTTATTTTTCATCAGTTAAAGTGAGAATAATAAACAAACAACTCAAAATTTACAAAAACATTTCTGACATTTCAAAAAAAATAAAAAATCTGTGACCAATATGGCCACCCTTCTTTTCAATAACAGTCATAAGCCTTCCATCCATGGAGTCTGTCAGTTTCTTGATCTGTTGACGATCAACTTTTTGTGCAGCAGCAACCACAGCCTCCCAGACACTGGTCAGAGAGGTGTACTGTTTTCCTTCACCGTAAATCGACCGTTTAAGAAGGGACCACAAGTTCTCAATAGGGTTTAGGTCAGGTGAGGAAGGGGGCCATGTCATTATTCTTTCATCTTTACGGCCTTTACTGGCTAGCCACGCAGTGGAGTACTTCGATGCATGCGATGGAGCATTGTCCTGCATAAAAATCATGGTCTTCTTGAAAGATGCAGACTTTTTCCTGTACCACTGCTTGAAGAAAGTGTCTTCTAAAAACTGGCAGTAGGTTTGGGAGTTGAGTTTGAGTCCATCTTCAACCCGAAAAGGTCCAACTAGCTCATCTTTAATAATACCAGCCCATACCAGTACCCCACCTCCACCTTGCTGGCGTCTGAGTCGAAGTGGAGCTCCGTGCCCGTTACTGATCCAGCCACGGGCCCATCCATCTGGTCAGTCAAGAGTCACTCTCATCTCATCAGTCCATAAAACCTTTGAAAAATCAGTCTTCAGATATTTCTTGGCCCAGTCTTGACGTTTCAACTTATGCGTCTTGTTCAGTGGTGGTCGGGTTTCAGCCTTCCTTACCATGGCCATGTCTCTGAGCACTGAACACCTTGTACTTCTGGGCACTCCAGGTAGGTTGCAGTTCTGGAATATGACAGCACTGGAGGATAATGGGTTCCTGGTAGCTTCACGTTTGATTCTTCTCAAATCTTTGGCAGTTAATTTGAGTATTTTTTTCTCAACACGGTTCTTGCGACCCTGTTGACTATTTGCAACAAAACGTTTGATGGTTCTGTGATCACGCCCCAATATCTTAGCAATTTCAAGAGTGCTGCATCCCTCTGAAATACTTTTTACAATTTTTGACTTTTCAGTGTCAGTTAAATCAATATTTTGGCCCATTTTGCCTGAGGAAAAGAAGCTGCCTAATAATTATGCACACCTTGATATAGGTTGTTGATCTCCTTAGGCCACACCCTCCCTCATTACACAAATACACATCACCTGATATGCTTCAATCCAATAAGCATTCCAGTTTATACAGCTTGGAGTTGGGAAATATGCATAATAATGATGATATGGTCAAAATACTGACTTGCCTAATAAGATGGAAACATCTGGTGGGAAAATGCGCATATTGTTTTGTGCAGATTTTAGAATATTCCACAGTTGCAAATTGGATGGAAACCTAGCTACAGACAGCTAATTAGTTTGGAGGTAAATTACAATGATAACTGCATTATCTGACTGGTACTGAAAGCAGATCTTAAAGGAAGAGCGTAATCTGGGTTTCTGTCTGATGTACTCTGTACTCACCTTCCCTGATACAATCTTCTCATAGATCTGAATGGGCTGGTCAGCGAAGAAGGGAGGATAGCCAGCAGCCATCTCATAAATCAGCACGCCCAGAGCCCACCAGTCCACTGCCTTATTATAACCCTGAGAGAGCGAGAGAGAGCGAGAGAGAGCGGGGGGTAGAGAAAAAAAAAAGAGTGTTAGATTCACAGGGAAAGAGGCAGAACTAAGCACAAATAGAAAGAAAGGGAATGTGTCATACATAGGCTCTTCTCTAGTCAGCAGTTGTAATCATGGTCCGAGTTGTTTATGAATGGCTGTAGTGACATGATCTTTGCTGTGTCGTGGTAATGACCCCTATGTTGTGGTAAAAACCCCAGTGTTGTTATGGATATGAGGTGTGACGGCAGGCCGGGGGTTTGGTGGTGACCACTCACTTTGCTAAGGATGATTTCGGGGGCCAGGTATTCCGGAGTGCCACACAGCGTCCAGGTCCGGCCCTTCACTCGCTTTGCAAAACCAAAATCTGTTACCTGGGAGGAACACAGAGGTGTCTCAGCAACGACAATCAACAGTTCAGTTCTGACATTAGCTTAAAGTTATACTTCCAGGATTTTGGCAATGAGGCCCTTTATCTACTTCCCCGGAGTCAGATGAACTTCTGGATACCATTTGTATGTTTCTGTGTCCAGTATGAAGGAAGTTAGAGGTAGTTTTGCGAGCCAATGCTAACTAGCGTTAGCATAATCACTGGAAGTCTATGGTATCGGCTAGCATGCTATCCCTTTAACACTAGGAACCGCCAGTCCACAGAGTAGAACATAATATTCTATGAGCACCCGCTAGAGAACGTTATCGGGCGTCCCCTTTAGCATATGCATCAGATGCATATCAACCTGCAAGGTGCAGCAAACATAAGACCCAACACTTGATAAATAGTGCATAAACTATTATAGAGGATTAATTGCATGTAGAAATATTTGTGGAAATGTATCAATTAAAAACAGTTATTTGTTTAGATAGTAGAATTATACAAAACATATTCTTGACTCTAAGTCCTAGAAAAAAACGTAGCATATAGCCTATTTTTGTTTCCCTTACAATAAAAAGATTACAGTGTAATCCATTTGATCTACTTTATTTGTAGATTTGATTAGTAATAGTTATAGTAATTAATGAAGGCCAGTTACAGCTTCTTTTGACAAAGTAGAAACTAAAAAGATAATAATAATATAACCAGTCCAGGTGCACACGTGAAATTATTTGCTGTATTCCTAAACAAAAGCACCAGTGCATGAACAAGATATAAAAACAGTCATTTGTTGATTGTATCGACACTGTATTGCTCCCTTATACGCGTGCCTTTACACATGAATCAATCTCGTCTTCAGGTCCACAGTCGGCACACAAAATCGGTTGCACTGAACAGTTTTCATGGGCCTTGTTTCATGTGCACCTGCCACAGGTGTCGCATAATCTCTCTGAAGCGGTTGCGTGGCATGGTCTCTCGGAAAAAGTCCACCCCATACCAATCACACCAAAATGACTCCACACCCATGCTCTTTCTGCCGTATGCCCCGCGGACATACAAGATTGCAATAAATGCTTTGAGTTCATCCATAGACATCCCACGTACTCTTTCCTTTTCAGTGCGCATGAGCAACAGTATAATCTCTGATGTGCTGCAACATCTGCATGTCACAAACTCGTCACTCTTTTCTAACCAAGCCGTGCCATCCCTCACAGACTCCTGTCTCACGTGGCAGTTGTGATCACCGTCACAGTTGACTCTGTTCTGGTTTTTCTGTGGCGAGGCTCAGGCATCAGAGGCAGAGGCTCAAAGTCAACATCAGAATCAGATGAAGACTTCCTCAGCAATGTCGATTTCAAGCTCAATATCTGATCCTCCATCTGACTTCAACATATCAATTCTGCAGCATTTGCAATGCTGTCAGTGCGTCCATTCGTTTGGTTCGGCTTGCCATTGGGAACTACACACATTGTATGTTGTACTCAGTGTCTGATTTGACTCTGAGTGGAAATTACATACAATTTCCATTTAAAAAAATTGACCGCCCACAATTCTTCATCATTACACTATTGTTCTAAATTCAATCACCCTCCTCATCATTCAGTTCATTGAAGTCACATGCACCATTATCCAGTTTCTATCACCCATTCATCCATTGACGACAGAATACCATATTTTAATTCAAATGGTATTATATGTTACTAGTTTTTGCTTAGTAGTCCAGAGCAATGCTGCCGCGCGAATGGTCATGTGCTGAATGCATGGACAGCATGGATATTCTTGGAAAAAGTTACATTTGGAAATAGAGCTGCACCTCTTGAACTTTGAGTTGTTTGACAAAGGTAAGTGTCATACAAACAGCAGAATATGCCCTTTCTGATACTATATAGAAATCAAAATGTTTTACCTTCATGTGACTGAAGGAGGATTTGTTAGTGATGCTCCTTTTCCTGCATCTCATCAGATTGTCAATTTAATATTGTCTATAGGCTAACCCTTATCATGTGTGAACAGACTCATCATTACAATATTGTATTTCTAAATTAAAATCAACCTCTTCACCCTTTCTTATCATTCAGTTAGGCCTCATTTAAATTCAATTGTCAAGTAAGGTGCACAATTATCGCCCATTCATCCATTTGTCATTCATTCAGTGAGGAGAGAGGGACACATTAGCGCCTGGCTGGGTACCAACGTCCTACAGCACATTGTCTTGGCGGGTTAAGTCAGGAATAGGTGTTAAAAAAACTAGTAAAAAGGCTCTAAATACTTTTCTGTTTGTGATTTCAAAAATCGGACAAATGAGTTGTGTAAAATACAAACATTTAGGAAAAGTCAGGGAAGAAGCAGGATATCGCTTTTTTTGGGGGGGCTGATTTTTTTATTTACAAAATCAAACGTTAGTGGCCGTTGGCGGTTCTAGAGTTAAGAGCATTTTCAAAATCAGGGCATGTAGAATGCATTTCATGTGTAGTATGTACAGTACACCCATGCTTGTTCTCCATTAGTTCTACAGTACCTGTATAGCTAGCTAGCCATTTGACTATGCGTGTTCTCACCTGTATGTATCCCTGGTTGTCAATGAGCAGGTTCTCAGGCTTCAGATCTCGGTAGATGAGGTCCAGTGAGTGAAGGTATTCAAAGGTCAGAACAATCTGGGCGGCGTAGAAGCGGGCGTGGGGCTCACTGCAGGCAGAGAAAGAGAAGGAGCGAGAGGTCAGAGGGTCATGTGGACACCACAATATATTTACTAGGAGGCTGTTGTGGAGTTATGGTCTATGGAAAATAGGGAAGGTTAACTACTGTAGCCATTTGGTTATATTTCAACAGTGGGAGACAGGTAAACAGACTCACCTGAACCTGCCAATTCTCCTTAAATGTGAGAACATCTCACCACCAGGGACATACTCCATCACCATATACAGGTTAGTGTTGTCCTACAGAGAGCAAAATATTTGAGAAATTTGAGTTGATGTGAACCTCACCTTCTTCATGGCACAAACGTGTATGTGCACACACACACACACACACACACACACACACACACACACCAGGGTTTCCGTTATGAAAATGTGGCGCCGGACATTTGACCGGCAGCATTTTATTTTACCGGATATTTGAGAAATGTACCGGACCCATTTGCATTGGGTGCGTAACCCGATTAGGGTGTCCTCCCACGGTGCTCAGAATGACAGAAATCACATTTAGATTATGGTAATTCATCTTAACAGAACATGCAAGTCGAGGATGCAATGACGTGTGTCCTTACTGTGCACATTGAAGATGTTAGAATAACTGTCCACATTAACTTTTTCCTCAGCCAAGAAGACGAGTAATGAATAGCAAAATCACTAGCCTACGCATAGGCGGAGCGTGAGTTTCAAGTTTGGGGAAGCAAATTTTCACCATAAAAATACACCTTTATAATAAAACATTCCATGCATCATGGCATTTGCAGGCTTATGTAAGATAGCCTACTATTCGTAATGTGATGAGTAGATTGGATAGTCTTGGATAATTTAGGATAATAATATAACTCAATCACTGTTCGCAAAAAAGACTGTTCAATGCATGGCTGAGCGCCTATAGCGTAGAGGCCTGGGCTATAGGCTATATCAGATACGTTTCTTCTTTATTTGCATAGGAAAAACACATTTCATGCAATTCTACTACACTTTATATGACTGGAGACATTAGCAGAATCTTTTTTAATACGACAAATGACAGGGTAGCCTACTCTGCTGCCATTGACAAAGATTCAATAAAAACGACGTTGTCCCTATAGCCTAGTAGGCCTACGAGTAGGGGAGACAAATAGAATATAAGGTCCATCTAAACTGGAGGAGGAAAGTGGCGCTGACCCAACAATGATAGAGTGAATATGCGCAGTGCGCATTCACCGGGGATATGGCCGATGCTTTCAGCTGTTGCCAATAAGATAGGCTTACTGTTGTTCGCTCAATTAAGTTGAATTTTGATGATTAAAAGACAGATGAGTCTTTTCATTGTCTTCTCTCTACAGCAATAGCCATTTGCTATCCAAACTGTTTCCCACAATTTAATTTAGAAATATTGCGATAAGCCAAGATGGGCCTCTACTTTTCACTGACAGTGGCAACCAAAATTGCGCGTGTTGCCTTTCCTTCCGACTGTAGGCAATGCGATTTAAAACAATCCACAACTTTTTTTTTTAAGACTAGGGGAAGCTAATGATCCTCTGTGGCCAAATCATGCTTTAGTAGCAAATTTTGAATGATTTTATTTATTTCTGTATAGACAAGAGTAGCCTAAATCAGGCTATATAATGTTGGCAATTTAATTCAATTTACTTAAGGAAAGGTTCCCCTAGCCTTATGGACGTGCCGCATATGAACCTACAGTACCAGTCAGTACCAGGGTTTTTCTTTATTTTTACTATATTCTACATTGTAGAACAATAGTGAAGACATCAAAACTATGAATTAACACATATGGAATCATGTAGTAACCAAAAAAAGTGTTAAACAAATCAAAATATATTTTAGATTCTTCAAAGTAGCCACCCTTTGCCTTGATGACAGCTTTGCACACACTTGGCATTCTCTCAACCAGCTTCATGAGGTAGTCACCTGGAATGCATTTCAATTAACAGGTGTGCCTTCTTAAAAGTTAATTTGTGGATTTGTGAATTTCTTTCCTTCTTAATGCGTTTGAGCCAATCAGTTGTGTTGTGACAAGGTAGGGGGGTATACAGAAGATAGCCCTATTTGGTAAAAGACCAAGTCCATATTATGGCAAGAACAGCTCAAATAAGCAAAGAGAAATGACAGTCCATCATTACTTTAAGACATGAAGGTCAGTCAATACGGAACATTTCAAGAACTTTGAAAGTTTCTTCAAGTGCAGTGCAGTCGCAAAAACCATTAAGCGCTATGATGAAACAGGCTCTCATGAGGACTGCCACAGGAAAGGAAGACCTCTGCTGCAGAGGATAAGTTCATTAGAGTTAACTGCACCTCAGATTGCAGCCCAAATACATGCTTCAGAGTTCAAGTAACAGACACATCCCAACATCAACTGCTCAGAGGAGACTGCATGAATCAGGCCTTCATGGTCGAATTGCTGCAAAGAAACCACTACTAAAGGACACCAATAATAAGAGAGACTCGCTTGGGCCAAGAAACACGAGCAATGGACATTAGACCGGTGGAAATCTGTCCTTTGGTCTGATGAGTCCAAATTTGAGATTTTTGGTTCCAACCGCCGTGTCTTTGTGAGACGCAGAGTAGGTGAACGGATGATCTCCGCATGTGTGGTTCCCACCGTGAAGCATGGAGGAGGTGGTGTGATGGTGTGGGGGTGCTTTGCTGGTGACACTGTCGGTAATTTATTTAGAATTCAAGGCACACTTAACCAGCATGGCTACTACAGCATTCTGCAGCGATACGCCATCCCATCTGGTTTGCGCTTAGTGGGACTATCATTTGTTTTTCAACAGGACAATGACTCAAAACACACCTCCAGGCTGTGTAAGGGCTATTTGACCAAGAAGGAGAGTGATTGAGTGCTGCATCAGATGACCTGGCCTCCACAATCACCCGACCTCAACTCAATTGAGATGGTTTGGGATGAGTTCGATCGCAGAGTGAAGGAAAAGCAGCCAACAAGTGCTCAGCATATGTGAGAACTCCTTCAAGACTGTTGGAAAAGCATTACTCATGAAGCTGGTTGAGAGAATGCCAAGAGTGTGCAAAGCTGTCATCAAGGTAAAGGGTGGCTACTTTGAAGAATCTAAAATATATTTTGATTTGTTTAACACTTTTTTGGTTACTACATGATTCCATATGTGTTATTTCATAGTTTTGATGTGTTCACTATTATTCTACAATGTAGAAAATAGTAAAAATAAAGAAAAATCCTTGAATGAGTAGGTGTGTCCAAACCTTTGACTGGTACTGTATGTCAATCTACTATTCCCCATAGCAGAAAAGTTGACCCTATTCCAAACAGACTCTGGGACAGTTGTGGGATGATAGATCCTAAATTCATCCAACCAGTAGGCCTAGGCTACATTAAACAACGCTAAAAAGAAATTAACCTGATGCAACAGATCAGAATGTTTAGCTTAAAATGTTGATAAACTAATAACATTATTAGCGCAGCAATGCACCAAGGCAGTAGGCGACGTGCAAATGTGCATTTGGCTACCGGACAATGAAAAAATAAGTTGAAAACCAATAGAACATGAGAAATATGCTACTGGTTTCAATGGCATATGGAAGTCTTTATAAAATAATTGCCTCCACGGATATGGTCGGATGTTGCCTAGGCTACTTTGAAGCAAGGTAAAACATGCCTCATAATACGTAGTAAAACGTTCAGGTTGCAAATAATTAAGTAGCTATATGTTTTCAAAATGCATACTGCATCCAGCTTTTTGCAAAGTGGTGTGATGCGCTGATGAAGCCTGCCTTCCGTTGCCTATGCATTTGAATGGGAAGCACGCTTCAAATTACCAGTTGAGAAATAACATTCGCTATTTTTAATCTTGGCCCAAAAACAATTTTTAACACATGATTGCATTTAGAATTATTGCGCAATGATTGGGCTTATAAAAAGCGCTGTCTGACAGATTTTCCACTCAAAGGTTCTGTATCTGTGATAAGATACATAACAAATATACACACGTGCCAATTTAATTCCACAAAATTATGCAAACTAAACCATTGACCAATCATTCTTATCGGTCTAATGTATTTACATCAACTGGTATTTCCATCATTGAATAGGCTAAAAAGCATTATTTCAAAGTTTTGATTTTGGCAGGTGTCAATTTTATTTTTAGCCTTTAAAAAAAACGTTTACGGCCAAAAGCTGGCTATTACCGGCTAACGGAAACCCTGACGCACACACACACACACCCACACACACACACACACACGAACGCATGCACACACACACGTCCAGCAGTACCTTGAAAGAGTGCTCCAACCGCACCAGGAAGGGAAAGCTGACGGCCTGCAGGATGCGTTTCTCATTCAGTGTGTGTTCTATCTGCTTCAGCTTCACAACCTGAGGGGGAACAAACCAGGACACTCTTTGTTAAGCAAGGAGAGCCCCCTAAATCTCGGACTAATCGGCCAAGAGACAGTAACAGCACCAGGGTTCAATTCCATTTCACATAAATCAATGCATGAGATTAATACAAATTCGTATTCATTAACATAAAAAAGCCATATACATGCATTGTAAGAGGACTTGGAGTCAGTTCACTAACTGAATTTGAATGAAATCAACCCCAACTCTGAAAACCAATGCACAACTGACTCCCCAGGCCACATTACTGTACCTTCTGTTTGTCAAGTATCTTCATGGCAAAATGCTGGCCTGACTCTTTGTGCTTGACCAGCATGACTCGACCAAATGAGCCCGTGCCCAGGGTCTTCAGGCGGTCAAAGCCATCCAGGGCTGCAGTGTTCTGGAGAGGAGAACATGTCAGTTAGAACAGGGAAACAAGCACACAAACCAGCCAGAGTCAGGCTGAGTAGTAACACTGGACTGCAACAGTCTATCTATCCATCAAACTTCACACTGTCCGGTCAAAAAAAACATCAAAAGCAGCATATGATACGGATTCTGTGACATTCAAAAAGTGCAATGCATCACAGCAACTGTTGTTAGTCCTGCCTGTGCACACATATTGCAGCAAAAGTATGAGTCATATTTTTACATTACTACAATAGCAAATTAAACTTGTGTTATGCTAAAATAAAAAAGGGGGGAAAGTGTTATGCTAAATGCTGCACATAATCAGTAAATTCTATTGTGTATGCCTCAAAGCTAAGAAAATGAAAAGTTCCAACAAGTGTGAGTCTTGTTAGATCCAGCAGAGGGCACACATTCCTTCTCTCACCCAGGTCTGACTGACACTGGGATGGGCTTGTATGCTGGGGCTTTCTGAGCATGTGCAGGAGGCATGTCATTCATTCCCACACCTCCCTCTTTCCTGACTCACCTGTGCTGGATTCTCCCATTTCTTGAGGAAATCTTCTTTGGCTTTGGCAAGAAACTCCTTCACTGTAAACAGAGCAAACGGATGTTTTAGCACCTAACCTACTTCATGAAACAGATTCAATCAGACACATTTTGATGAGAATGAGGATGATGTTGTGCATGTGTTTAGAAAAAAAGTGTCATCTTTATAACCACTGACCAGCGCTATAATATAAAGACTTCTCTTTAAGGCTGAATTGTGATATTTTGGAGATGAACATGAGCGTGTGTTGGAATGGGTCTTCTGTGGCACAACCGAGCTCATGTTATCTAATACTTCCTCCTCCAGCCATGTCAGAACGGGAGCAGAGAGCCAATCAATACAGGCAGTCTGTGTGAATGTATCTCTAGTAAGAGATTTTATCCACTCCAAAGTGACTTATCATAACCTTTATACAGTCGCACACTCTCACATGCACGCACACAGACACAGCATCACATGCAGAAGTGCAGCACATCTCTCCATCTTATCTTTATTGGGCTGATCCCTATGTGCTCTGTGGGAACATGTAGATACCAGCCCTTCCTCATTTCTCCCTGCTCATATCTATCTGTGCCTCAACACTGAGGACACTGGCGGGCTGCTACCAATATGAAAGTACCAGTACCACTCAACACCGGGGACTCTGGCTGGCTTGGCTGCTACTAGTATGAAAGTACCAGTACCACTCAACACTGGGGACTCTAGCTGGCTTGGCTGCTACTAGTAGGAAGTACCAGTACCACTCAACACTGGGGACTCCAGCTGGCTTGGCTGCTACTAGTAAGGAAGTACCAGTACCACTCAACACTGGGGACTCTGGCTGACTGGCTACTACTAGTAAGGAAGTACCAGTACCACTCAACACTGGGGACTCTGGCTGACTGGCTACTACTAGTAAGGAAGTACCAGTACCACTCAACACTGGGGACTCCAGCTGACTGGCTACTACTAGTAAGGAAGTACCAGTACCACTCAACACTGGGGACTCCGGCTGACTGGCTACTACTAGTAAGGAAGTACCAGTACCACTCAACACTGGGGACTCCGGCTGACTGGCTACTACTAGTAAGGAAGTACCAGTACCACTCAACACTGGGGACTCCGGCTGACTGGCTACTACTAGTAAGGAAGTACCAGTACCACTCAACACTGGGGACTCCGGCTGACTGGCTACTACTAGTAAGGAAGTACCAGTACCACTCAACACTGGGGACTCCGGCTGACTGGCTACTACTAGTAAGGAAGTACCAGTACCACTCAACACTGGGGACTCCGGCTGACTGGCTACTACTAGTAAGGAAGTACCAGTACCACTCAACACTGGGGACTCCGGCTGACTGGCTACTACTAGTAAGGAAGTACCAGTACCACTCAACACTGGGGACTCTGGCTGACTGGCTACTACTAGTAAGGAAGTACCAGTACCACTCAACACTGGGGACTCCGGCTGACTGGCTACTACTAGTAAGGAAGTACCAGTACCACTCAACACTGGGGACTCCGGCTGACTGGCTACTACTAGTAAGGAAGTACCAGTACCACTCAACACTGGGGACTCTGGCTGACTGGCTACTACTAGTAAGGAAGTACCAGTACCACTCAACACTGGGGTCTCTGGCTGACTGGCTACTACTAGTAAGGAAGTACCAGTACCACTCAACACTGGGGACTCCGGCTGGCTTGGCTGCTACTAGTAAGGAAGTACTACTATAGGAGACAGAGGGCTGAGGACAGGGGGGAGGAGGAGGAGAATAAGTACACTACAGTAAATCGATGGGTTTGTCAGAGGAAAGATGAACATTTAAATCTGTCACCCTCGCTCTTAAACCAGTATGCAATTATCTTTAAATTAAAAGATTAAACAGATCTTGAAAATCTTCTGTGTCAATGTATGGCTCATACATGCATAGCCTAATACACCATATGTAATCTTCTCCTGGAAGAGAAAGCCACACAATCCTTACATTCAATAAACATTTTTGTTCAGGTGAGTTGCGTGCTCGTCCCTTTCATAGTAAAAGCACATACAAACTCGTAACATATCGTACGAATTGGAATTCATAACATATCATAGGAAATAGATGACGTTGTATACAATTGTTGGGGAACCGTTTTGGCTCGTGAGCACTACCTTCAAGACTATTGGCTGAAATGATTCAAAACCTCTGTAGCACCACTTTAACAGTCAAAACCTCTGTATACAAAACCTCTGTAGCATCACTTTAACAGTCAAAACCTCAAAGCCACACAAACCTTTGTGATCAGCACCAATATCTCCTCAGTGGTTCTGCTTTTCTCCACTCACAATGGGGCTATAAACAAAAAGCACATCTCTAGCAGCTCTATAGCAGTTCTCTCCTCTCTGGAGAACACCAACTCCAACAGAAGAGGAAGGCCAGAGAGCGGCACTGACCAAAGTTCATATAAACATGACTACAACCATGTTGCTCCCATGCCAGAGTCATTGAGAAGAAAACCAGACTAGCCTCCTGGGAGAGTACATTTCCCAGTCAGTGTGTTCCTCTATTCCCAGCTAAGTAAACCCCAACAGAGTCTCCCATAGAAGACACCCCTTCCATACTGTAGGCCTACAGCCAGAACTAAGGAGTGAAGTTCTGTCTAGCTATCAAACAGCTCAACAGTTAAACCAACAATGGCCCAAGTGGAATTGACTTGATCTAGCAAAGCCTTTGTTTTTGTTAGATTTGCGAGGCTTGGCTGCCATGACTACCGTGTGATGGGTGGAAGGTGATTCCTGGTCCTTCTCCACTGCCACCCTCCCTTACCGTCAGGGATGACTATGGGCATCTCTGGTGCTGCAGCCGCTGCCTCTGCAGCCCCGGAGCCGGAGGTGGACCCAGACTCCCTCTTCCTGCTACCATGCCTCCTGGAGCTCTTCCTGTGGCTGTCTGAGCCTGACATCAGCCCTGTCGCTACTACGTCGCTACCTGCCTCTTCTTCCTCGTTCCTCCTCACAGTGGTTGGCTCATCTCCCCTTCTCCTGTCATGTTCTCCTCCAGAAATCCACAGACCACCTCGAACTTCCTTGGTTTCTTCTCTCACCTTCTACATTCACTTTCCAGTTTCCCCTGTCTGTCTCTACTGTGTCCTGGCTGGGCACAGAGCAGAGCTCACTCAGCAGCCAGAGCCCCTGGTAGTCCAGAGCCAAACGAACAAAGCCCACAGCGCTGTGCTCTCATTACAACAAACTCACATAGATCAATTGGACCTGTGCTCTGTTTGTATCTATATTTATTCTGCACACAGTTCTACCTCCTGCTCCCAATCCTGTAAACACACACACACACACACACACATTGATCAACAGCAGGGGCCTGGTCACCAGGGGGAGGGACATCACTACAGCCAGGGGTTATAGTTATGAAGCCCAGAGAGGAACTCCTATGGAAAAAAAAAAAATACAAAGTTATGACTCATGACAGTCCTCTGCTCTGTCAAACCAGGAGATCATCCTGAATTCCTGGTACCATCAATATTACTCTCATCAACACAACCCATCAGTAGACCAATAGTTTTTCCTGCTCAGATCATGTGGTCAGGAAAACCTCCTGGACCTATGTAAGTACCCATGTGAGATGCCACAGCGGGGCAGTGTGAAACTATTTGGGATGTTTCCCAAAGAGGATATTTTCTAAAGAAAAGCCACAGCAGTAACAAAAGCACATTCCCTCTAGTGCCCAATGCAACATGCCCCAGTGTCCAGGATCGATGTCCCGATCAATCCCATCTTTCCCCTGGGCTTGGCTGGGACCCTGTGACGCAGGCACTGGGGGTTAGGTTGGGGCGCACTGACCGAGATTTTGCTCTGGAGCCCGCCAAACCACATCCAGTCCACATCAGACCTCATTTATAGAGCACACAGCCCACAGGCAACACATTAAAGGCAGAGTCAGAGGACGAGTGGAGCTACACATACAGAGACGGGGGGATACAGAAAGCCACACTGGTATTGAGTGAGTGAGTGATAGAGATAAGGGGTGGGGGGGGGGGGGGAGTAGAGGAAGTGAAAGAGGATGCAGAGACATCTGTTGGGTGTGAGAGAGTACAGAGGAAATAACTGATAAGTCCACATCCCAGCCACTTCACAGACCTCAGTCCTTACGGTCCTCATGGTTTGCTTCTCTGGCCACTGTACTGGTGGTGTCAGGTGCTTAGGTTTAGTCAGCACTTGGAGTTACGAGAGGTGAGAGTGACTGGGCATTCTGACAAGAGTATCTGAGCATGCCCAGAACAAAGCCCCTATAAAAAGGGAGTCAAGAAGTGCTGTGCGATACAAATACCAACCTGGCCCTGTTATGCAAGCCAGTGTAGACCACGCCGCCAAGCCCCAACCACACAGATATTTATTGCCACAGTGAAAGCTCCACCTTGACAGTGTCGCATCACAGGGCGAAATGCATGTAATTTCATATAGAGATTGACTGACATGTTCAGATATGCAAACACACATTGAAGGAAGCTAGGGTGAGAGTCAGACATCTTGTCTCCGAGACAGACACGTGGCCCGGAGCCCATATAAAGGGAACCCTGCTGGACAGAGACACACCGACAGGGTTTCCCGGGAGACAGACAAACAGCTTCCCTGGAACTTTGGTGTGACGCAGCCGACACCAGGCAACACAGCAAACACGAGGTGCTGATTCAAAAGAGCTTTGTGTGTGGGTCACACAACATCAGTCCAAACAACAAACAACAAACCTAGCCAAAACCAAAGCTAATCAAATGCAGTCTACTTTCGTAAAACCCGGACCAAAGCATAGTCATCCTGCACAGCACACACAGCTATGTCTTACTATACTTGGACTTTTTGGGGACCAACAATTGATTCCCATTAAAAAAATCATATTTTTCCCTAACCCTAATTCTAACCCCAACATAGCCTTTTTACAAGCGAGGACCGGCAAAATGTCCTCACTTCTCCAAATGTTAGCATTTGTGAGAGCTTTTGGTACTCACAAGTAAAGTAAAACAAGTACACACACACACACACCACCAAATCCACAAGAGAACTGGAAAACAGTGTGATTGTGTGTCCAACACACCCAGTCACACCCCCCCTACCCCCCTCTAGTCACTCCCACTGGCCCAACCAATCACTCCCCTCCCTCCCTGAGTGACCGTGGGAACAGGCTCTGCCCCCCTGCGCCAGTCCAGTCAATCAGTAACTCACTCCAGCAGTAGGCCTCTGGCTCCTCCTGTGGCTGGAAGTGTCTGCCCTCCCCACTGCTGGTGTCTCCCAGACAGGGCCCAGCGCGCTGGAACAGCCTCCCCGCCAGCCTGTGCAGCACC